TGACTCTTAACATCTACTGGTAAAAACTTATACCTTTCTCTAGCTAGAGTTTGAAGAAAATAGGGATTTTTAGATTTTTGCTCAAGAGAAAATTCACTATTATGCTCAAGTAAGTTGGGCTTAATAGCCTCTTTTTCTTGTAGATTATGCTCCATTAAGGTGGGCTTATTAGCCTCTTGTAGATTTTGACATCTTATATTAATGACTCTAAAATGTTTTACTATGCAATCGTATTCCTTCTTTTGCTCCAAATATTTTTCCTGCAACAAAGCAAGTTGTTGTTTTGCTATGAACGAGATGGATGTTTGTTGTCCCAACCATTGTTAGTCCCGATCCTGATAAGGAAAAGGGATAATTTATAACAAAGTTTTCGTAATCATAATTATAGGCTACAAATTCTTGCTCAAGGGCTCTAATAAGCTTTTCATGCCCTCTTCTCATGCTTTCAGTATTTGTTCTAATATTCCAAAAGTTATCTAAAAGAACTTTTTGTTTTTCTGCTAATGATGCTCGAGTACAACACTTTAAAGCGGGATTTCTAACTTCTTGTACTGAAATTCCATTATAAAAATAAGTATTTACTACTGATTGTGCTTGATTACTTATGCTTAATGGATTACCACCAAGTGATGGTGTACCATTATTTTTGCTGTCAGATGATGATGGTCCAAAATACTGCATACCTGTTAATGAATAATACGGGATAAGATATTTGCTAATGTATTATCCATACCTTTAATATGCTCAAATATCGGCTTAAATCCATTTCCTGTAATAGAATCAACCAAATTCACCCATCTTTGGGTTGCTTGTTTATTAGTAGTAATTTTATTATAATGAGAAACAATATTTTTACAATCTGTTCTAATAGTAAATATTTCATTATGTAAAAATAATGAAAATGCTTCAAGAGAATTAATGACTCCTAAAATTTCTAAGTCAGTGGCTGGAAGTCTAGCCTGTATATCATTAAATTTTCCTGATGCATATCTACAAACTTTTTCTTCTGATTTTGGTTCTTCTTTATGTTTCTTTTGATATAAAATTCCTGCCCATCCTATTGATGATGCGTCTGTTTCAATTATTTTGTAATTATTATCTAATGGTAATGCTAAAGGTTTAAGTTGAGTTATATCTTGTTTTATGCCTTGAACTAACTTAATATCTTCACTATTAAAATATTTTTGTCCTGTTTTACTATTTTTGCTATGTAAAGCTGCAATTTTTCTTCCTAAATCAGGGATAAAACTTCTAGCATAATTTAATAAACCTAAAAATGCTTGTAATTGCTTTTTATCCTCTAACTTATCTGGA